TCACCTATGCTTGGATATTAAGTCGATTATTGATTTTAATTGTTTAAGAAAATGGTGCCCCGTCTCAAAAACCTTTTATAAACTATCGCGAACAATAGAAACATATTTGGGCCCTGATCCTGGTTGATTACCGCGTTAAAGTATTTATTTTTACCGATTTTCAGAGATTGAGTCGATTGTTTTTTTGTTGAGTAACCTATATTATATTCTAGTCATTGGTAAAACGTCAATATAACTTGTCTGACCTTAACTGACCTAATCTTCTAGGAGCTAGCTTCAGCCTCATATCGTTGTTGCTAATTCTGTCAGTCATGTGGTACTTCAGGGTATGGAACTTTTTATTCATTCTCCTGTGGTGCCCATCGATGGCGAATCCCAGCCATAGTTTTGTCTCAGCATCTCTCATCAGCACTCCTGCTTATAGCATCCGCTATAAGCAGGAGATGCTATAAGCAGGAGTGCTACCCGGCCTGGGCTGACGCATCAGGGTTCCGGGATTTAAACACCAGCGTCTTTAAAAAGAAGTATAATGTAAAAGTCTCCAGGTCCTTCAAAAGAGTCATTGCCAAGTTAAAGTCAAAGTCTTCGGAAACCCATGCATTCTGGTATCTCGCCAAGGCTGTCGTCCAAGGGAGATAAATTAAAAGTAATTTTCATGATACTATTCAGTTTAAAAAAAATATACAGCGATATATTATCACTCTACGATTTTATAAAACACTATTTGAAAAGAGGTGTTTTACCCTATTGCCAGAGACAATAGGAATATTTATATATCTAAGTAATTCTTCTCTCCGCGTGTATGTGACTGAACTCCTCCTAAGCGGCTGGTCTGATTTTGATGAAATTTTGTGTGTGTGATTATGTTGATTCGGGAATTGTGCGAAGCCGGGGCCGATCGCTAGTATTTATGTAAATAAGTAGGTAATTTCATTAATATGGAAAAGCTTGGACATTACTTTTCTACTTGGGTTTGTACTTCGTTCCATTTACAGTAAATAGGACTAGACAAGTCCTAATTGTTCCAAATATTTTCAAACAGAGATTGAAATGATATAATGACGCTGACAAAATAAACATGATTGGTATAGTTATGCCGTTACAAACAAACACGGTCCGGTATTCGACACCTCTGTTTTGCTGTAGCTGCAGTAGTGAGAACTACTGCAGCTACAGCATAATAATATAATAAAGCGGAAGAGTTTTTTTGCTTTTTGTTCGTTTAAACGCGCTAATCTCTGGAACCACCAGTCCGATTTGAAAAATTCTTTTTGTACATTATAGCCAGATTCACGTGGAATAGTATAGGCTATCTAGCATCAAGCTATATCACTCAGCTAGCCTTAAATATGGATATTTGTTGAGCGAATCAGAAGAAAAAGCACCCCCGAAATGATTTATCCGCGTACGCTGGTGTTATCGTTAGGGATACGTAAATACAATGTTCTAAAAAAATATAGATGTTTACTCCATCTAAAAAAAGTCCGTGATACCATATGTCTATTTCTTATACATAAGTCATAATTAGGTATTTTGTGTCAAAAAAAATATTGAAAATTTAAAAGTTATTTATGAGCGTTATTATTAGGCATGGCCTATTTATCTTTACGAACGAAAGTTACTTCATCATCAAGACAATTTTATGAAGATAAACTTTGTTCTTTATACCATGTTATTTGGACGCATAGTTTAAGAGATAATGTAAAATTAAAATAATTCAATACTTGGCTGGGCGCGCGAACGACACATACATAGGCTACACTAAAAGTATCGGGAATGGAATATTTCCACTGTTCCTGTCATATTTAAATCACTTTAATTGAAAAGTCCTTGGTTTTTTAAAATTGAATACCATTTATTTATTTAAAAAACGATTCTCGGTCTTGTCACAAGGTTTTGTCAAACTTGTTTAGTCGTTGAGAAAATGGAATTGACTCGAGAAAATTCAAGAGCGATGATTTATTATCACTTTCGAAGTGGTTTAACACAAAAACAGTGTGTTGACCGGATGATTTCTGCATTTGGTGATGAAGCCCCATCCAAAACCACAATTTATCGCTGGTTTGCTGAATTTCAACGTGGACGTGTCAAGCTCAGTGATGATCTCCGTCAAGGTCGTCCAAAAACTGCGGTCGCCCAAGAAAACGTTGATGCAGTGCGTAAGCTGATTGAGAAAGATCGACATGTGACATACCGCGAAATTCAGGCAATTTTAGACATTGGCATGAGTCAAATACAAATAATCTTGCATGAACAATTAGGTGTAAAAAAGTTGTTTTCCCGATGGATACCGCACTCGCTCTGTGAAGAGCAAAAAGCGACTCGCGTTACTTGGTGCGTCAGAACTCTCGAAAGATTCCACGCAGGATCCTCAAATACTGTATACAACATCGTATCAGGTGACGAATCCTGGATATACGCGTACGAACCCGAAACAAAAAACCAGTCACGAGTTTGGGTGTTCGAAAATGAGTTAAAGCCAACAAAAATTGTTCGTTCACGGAGTGTTGCAAAAAAAATGGTGGCCACGTTTGTCTCCAAAACCGGCCATGTTACGACTATTCCTCTTGAGGGACAAAGAACGGTTAATGCAGAATGGTATGCTAGCATTTGTTTGCCACAGGTCGTTTCTAAACTCCGTAAAGAGAACTGCAATCGCCGCATCATCCTCCATCACGACAATGCGAGTTCTCACACCGCACACAGAACAAAAGAGTTTTTAGAGCAAGAAAACATAGAATTATTAGACCTTCCGCCGTACAGCCCCGACCTAAGCCCTAATGATTTTTATACTTTCCCTAAAATAAAGAATAAATTGCGTGGACAGAGATTTTCATCACCTGAAGAAGCTGTGGACGCCTACAAAACTGCCATTTTGGAGACCCCAACTTCCGAATGGAATGGTTGCTTCAATGATTGGTTCCATCGTACGGAAAAATGTGTCAAATTTCGCGGAGAATACTTCGAAAAACAATAAATACATTTTTAAATAGTAATGTTGTGTCACTTCCTTGATTCCCGAAATTTTCAGTGTCGCCCTCGTAAACCCTAGCCGCCCGGTGAGAACTGCGAGAACTGCTCAACCGCGATGGCGTGGGAAAGTGGATAAAACTTAACTTCGCTCTACATCATACATAATATGCCGACAGATAAAAGTACTCCATTAATTATGCCAATTTTTCCATCCATTGCTATCAAATAAAATATTTAATTGCAATTATAAAATGCTTGAACTAGGCCTTGTCGCGCACCTCCGACACGTGATGACGCGGGTGAAACTGCGGGGCACAGCTAGTATATATATATATATATATATATCATCAGATAGCGGGATTCTGCATCACGACTTGGGCATCCTCTCTAAAAACATTCGTACTGTCTAACACCTTTAATATGAGCCCTTCTTAGTTTGGACAAAGGTCTCTCACTTTCAAGATAGTTTTAAACGTTTTAGGTGTGATTTTTTTTTCTCAATCATCTGTGAGCAATTATTTATTACCGAACATATCTTTTTCCTTCGTTTTTATTTCCGTCAGTTTTTAATAACCAGTTAAAAGCTGTATTCATTTTGGGTATCTCAGTCTTTTTGAATGAAAAAATTAAACCGATATTATCTTACCTTACAATTTGTACAAAAATGAACACGTAAGTAATCAAAGTGAAATCAATACTTTTACAGATGGGGCTTTGTACTTTCTGTCACGCGTTATAATACTTTAAATTTCAAATTAATAGAAAGTTAAAACTTAAATTGATGTTAATTGATGCTAATACCAACACATAGTGCTGATATCGATATTATTACTGAGTTATACGTCCAAGTTTGTTTAGAAAATCATGTCAATGATTAAAGTAAGTAGTTTAGCAGTATCATGAATTGATATATTCGTACTTGATTTAGAAGTGCTTCAAGTCGCGCACAACCCAGAGAATACGTAGATAATAATATAGAGGTTCTGTTCGCATATAAATGCGAGAATGGAAACAGGCAGCAATCATCGAATGGTAAGAGGCACACTGAACCTTACCGTTAAGTTATCGAGGTCACATCTAAGAAGATTACGATAACTAACAAGCACGTGGAAACTCTCCATGCTTGCGGTCGGAGCTTGAAGAACCGTTGCAATCCACAGCAGAAGAACCTAAAAACTCTCCGTCCACACTCTTAATATCATATTAAGACTGTTAGACAGAAAATGAAACTGCAGTTTTCAACAGATATGACAGCGTACATGCAAGTGAATAGACAGACCTCCAAATTAATCTGGCGTAACTTTTGCAGCTTCAATACAGTTTTTATTGAAGAGGCGCTTGAGCAGAACCAAGGCTCCTAAAGTCTTTGCCAGAGATTTGTCAACTGGAATGAACCCTATATCTAAGTTGAAGACTAACTTTGGAAGCGACATTTCCAGATGACTGAGATTTTGAGTGAGATTGGGAGGCTCTATAGACAGCTTTACACATCTTCGTTAGAGCCACGTGCAAATGTGATTAAGCATTCAAAAGCAAGTCTCATCTAACATTATTCCGGTGATATCCCAAACATCACTATGAGTGAGATTAGAATGGCCTCCCCAGCACCGTAAAAATTGGGAAACACCAGATGATAATGGAATTACAGCGCGAGCTTTTGAAAGCGACTAGAAAACCAGTATTTGACCTTCAGAAAATGGTTTGAAATTGTGCTACATTCCCTTCAGCGGTACAAGATTGAATGTCGGTGTATGAAAGTACGAAGTGTTTATACAGTAGGGTTACGATGACTATCCAATTGTAGAGGGGTGTCAGATAAGGTGACGTTATATACCAGAAACTCTTTACTGCTGCAGAGGAAAACGTTTTCAAGTTACTAAACTAGAAAGAATATGGTATGAATATCGCCTTCGATTTGCTGACGATATAATCATTACGGTCTTAGTACTATGCTCAATTAAAGCAATAGCGTCTTCCAATGTATAGGTCTTAAGTGGACATGGATAAAAACGTAATATTTTTCTTTTGTAACAGACACAGAAACTTTTTCATTCAATATAGATTATAAATAATACTTATTGAAAGTCACTCTTTTGTTTAATTACTACTGGTTCGAAAAAAACCTCTGTTCTGGGAAGAACAAGCTAGAAACCCAGCGGGTTTTTTGTTTTAAATAACAGCTTACAATCATGTTATCACAATTAACCACACAAAACAAATTAGAAATAGTTTGGTAGCGATCACCTCATTTTATTATATTATTGATAAAGTTTAAAGATGCTCCTCTCCATTTCCTGTTTCAGTTTCCCTCTGTCGCTTACGACACCCACGGAATTACATAGGGCAGTGGATTCTCTTACACTGCCACTACACGGTTACGGAAGTAGACGGAGTATATGTCCTAGGCATTGAGTTATATGTACTACGTACTAGAGAAGCCTTTCTAAACAAAAAATGTGCACTACTCTATGTCTTCACGCATGCGCGGGAGATAGTAGAGTCGCATGTAGTGAGTTTGCATGCGCAGTTGATTTAAGCGCGTTGCGCCTGCACGGTCAGTTTTTAATTTAAGGTCGCTACATACAGGACGGAATCAGCATGTGCACGGGACGGAAACGGAACTTGGCTGAATCTCCACATGGAGGGGAGTTTAATATATACGCAACTCGAAACTAACGTGCTAGTGTTGTGAAAGGTGGATTTTCGTTTGAAGAGTTGACGGATCGACTGTGCATACGCAGCGAATCCACGGACGGGACGTGGCGCGCACGGGACGGGACGGGGTAAACATCGTCGCCGACGATATTTTTCTCGTTCCTTTCAAGCCACGTCCCCGTCCCGTCCGCGCATCCGTAACGTATGCATTTTTACATACATTTTCTATGGAACGATATTTCCAAAATTTGACGTCCTGCTCCGTCCGGAATAACACACGTTACGTATGCAGCGACCTTTAAACTTTAATTTGAAATTTTGTATTATTAGCGACGCTCCACACTGCATGTATATTGAAACCACAGACTAACTAGTAGATTGAAACCACACTAAATGACACACTGTACGGATTGCAGTACAGTTCAGTTGAACATAGTGTATGTTCGGGATGCGAAATCTAGTACGTAGTACATATATATCGATGGTCCTACGTAAGTAGTTGTCCGAAGAGGTAAGTCCTACTTAGACCAAGGGGTCTACATAATGGATTCAATTCATCTTAGCTGGGAAGAAATTACGACACATCTTCTCGTCATATATTCCTCAAAACTTAAAAACAAGAGTGAACAACCTGTGAGTGTTGCCACGTTGCTAGTGGTGCCGAGTACAATCCAAGCGTTTTCAAAGCAAAAGTGAATGGGCTTTTGTTACGGTAAGACAGTATGATTTAAGATCTAGATCTTCACCACCATTTACCACCAGGTGGGATTGTAGTCAAGCACTGGCTTATAATGAGTAAAAAAGGACGACTTTGGACACATACTGCAAGTTATTGAGAGTGACACACACACTCAAGCACTGGCTTATAATAGGTAAAAAAGGACAACTTTGGACAAACACTGCAAGTTATTGAGAGTGACACACACACTCAAGCATTGGCTTATAATAGGTAAAAAAGGACAACTTTGGACAAATACTGCAAGTTATTGAGAGTGACACACACACTCAAGCACTGGCTTATAATAGGTAAAAAAGGACAACTTTGGACACATATTGCAAGTTATTGAGAGTAACACACACACTCAATCACTGGCTTATAATAGGTAAAAAGGACGACTTTGGACAAACACTGCAAGTTATTGAGAGTGACACACACACCCAAGCACTGGCTTATTATAGGTAAAAAAAGACGATTTTGGACAAACACTGCAAGTTATTGAGAGTGACATACACACTCAAGCACTGGCTTATAATAGGTAAAAAAGGACAACTTTGGACAAATACTGCAAGTTATTGAGAGTGACACACACACCCAAGCACTGGCTTATTATAGGTAAAAAAGGACGATTTTGGACAAACACTGCAAGTTATTGAGACTGACATACACACTCAAGCACTGGCTTATAATAGGTAAAAAGGACAACTTTGGACAAATACTGCAAGTTATTGAGAGTGACACACACACCTAAGCACTGGCATATTATAGGTAAAAAGGACGATTTTGGACAAACACTGCAAGTTATTGAGAGTGACATACACACTCAAGCACTGGCTTATAATAGGTAAAAAAGGACGACTTTGGACAAATACTGCAAGTTATTGAGAGTGACACACACACCCAACCACTGGCTTATTATAGGTAAAAGGACGATTTTGGACAAACACTGCAAGTTATTGAGAGTGACATACACACTCAAGCACTGGCTTATAATAGGTAAAAAAGGACAACTTTGGACAAACACTGCAAGTTATTGAGAGTGACACACACACATTGCCGTTGCTGACGGAATGAAGAAGCTTAAGATCTATGTTCAGCAATGGACTTGTGAATGGATGTAATGATGATGAGATGCAAATTAACAAACATGTAAAAAAATACAACTAGCCAAAGACGAAAATATTAAGTATCATGTAGATATCTACTTGTAGTTGCTTCCTTGAGTCACATGTCTGACATTTTAGCCCCTTTTTTGTTTTAGCCGAGTTAACATTATTTAGTAAATATATATGGCTTATACATTGCCGCACCTAACAAATTAATACTAACGAAACATTTCTAAAAACCAAATGGGTGAATCTGGGCAACGCCTCGTGTAAGCGATGAATATTTCACACATTTGGTGTACACGCGTGAGTGTTAGTTCTTGGTTAATACTGTGATGGTTCACACATTAACTGCGATAGCGGTTAAAGCACGATTGGCGCAAGTTAAAACAATAACAAAGCAGTGACAAAGACCAAATACTAGTCTCTCTCACCTGTTGAAGTGGTCCGGACCGAGCCCGCTGTCGTTACTGTTCTCACACGGCTCCGGTGGTCGCAATGAGTGTGCATGTGCGTAATGTGCTAGTTTCCCGAATTTGCCGAGGTGCGCAAATTTGCCCGGGTTGTTTGCGTTCTTCCCCGGGTGCGCCATCTTGCCAGCGTGCAGCATCTTTCCAGGAAGCGTAGATTTTCCCGGGTGCACGCGCTTATTTATCACTTTCCTGTGCACTCGCGCGCTCATCGTCGCTGTCGTGGACATAGTCATTTTCATGCCTGTCGACAAGCAAACATGACTGTAAGACTGTAACATGTTCAATATAGATTGTGTTAGTAGGTTTTGATGGAAGTTGCCGAACGTTCGCCCGTCTGCGAACCTATCCGGCTTGCGAACATATGCTATAATTGTCAGTCTCATTATTATTAACAGAAAAAAATACACATGTTAACAATTTATATCGAAACTATAATTAGCAGATGATTTACATTAATAACATGGTAAAGTCTCCTTAAGGCCTATGCAGAAGCTGCTAAGGAAATGAAAGTATATGATATAACTATAGTGCTTAGGAAATAATTAAAATTATTCAAATATAAATTTAGGTATAACTATAAGAAGACTGTGGCTCAGAACCGCGCCAGGCCCGTGTCACTCTTGCTACCTGCGTGATATAAATACGTACAATCACGCGGAACCTCAGGTTACATACGCAGTCACCGCGCTAGCCCGCGTTTTAGACGAGTGGCGGACTTGTGAAGTTTTTTTTAACACTGTTTACGTAAATAGATTTTTGTATACACTTCTATAAATATTTTTATTTATTGTTTAGTATAATTAGTTATTGGATAAAATAGTTGTAATAGTTTTAGTGCAATTTATAGATATATCAACAGATAATCTAACAGTGGTAGAGCCACGCGGCAGCTTTTGCTGTCGCACGGATGGGCCGGCTCGAACCGGGGTGGTACCACGACCTCACAGAATACCAGCGTGAAGTAGAGGTTTACCTCTGCGTTTCGCTTGGTAAGTGCAGGTGGCCGGAGGCCCTTTTTACTGGAAATGAGGCATTCCATCTTAGTCCTCACGGGTGACAACGCATCTGCATTTTGATTCGCAAACGAGGATAGATGTAGATGTCTATGGGCCGCAGCATCCACTTACCATCAGGTGGACTGTGTGCTCGTTTGTCACCCTTATCCTATAAAAAAAATATATTTATTATTGAAAATACACTCATATTTTAAAAACATAATATTAATTTATCATTCCGTGTCAATGTTTTCCCTCCCAGTATTTACTTAAAATTATACGTCAGATTTAAAGCTGTTTCCACTGTTAAATTCAATAACTCAAAAGGTAATCAAAAGGTAGGTACTATATACGTACAGTATTTTTTAATATTTGTAGGAAAACGTAGGAAGCGAAAAAGAGGTCGATCAGCTGGTGATCTTCTGGTCTACCTGACCCATAGATGGGCGGAGGCAGTAGAGTCCAAGAGGGAGGCGTTGGCCGTTAGTCTGGACATTGCGAAGGCTTTCGATCGGGTTTGGCACAAAGCGCTTCTTTCGAAGCTCCCTTCCTATGGGCTTCCCGAGAAATTGTGCAATTGGATCACCAGCTTACTTGCAGATCGGAACATCAAGGTCGTTGTAGACGGTGCATGTTCTGACTACAAGCCTATTAACGCTGTGTGCTATCACCAACGCTGTTTCTTCTGCATATCAATGATATGTTGCTAACTGGTAACATTCATTGCTATGCGGATGACAGCACTGGTGATGCTCTATACACCGGCCGTGCCAATATTTCTCGGGAAAACGTCGCCGAGTACCGGAACAAACTTGTGTCTGAAGTAGAGTCTTTGCTGAATAAAGTCTCGGATTGGGGCGACTAAATCTAGTCCAGTTTAATCCTCAGAAGACACAAGTTTGCGCGTTTACCGCTAAAAAGAACCCCTTTGTCGTATCTCCTCAGTTTCAAGGCACTCCCCTTCTTGCCTCAGCCAGTATCGGTATCCTCGGAGTCGACATATCGAGTGACGTGCAGTTTCGTGGTCACTTGGAAGAGAAGGCCAAATTAGCCTCTAAAAAGCTTGGCGTGCTCAACAGAGCGGGACAGTATTTCATGCCGGCACACCGCCTGCAACTTTACAAGGTGCAGGTTCGGCACCACATGGAATACTGTTCCCATCTCTGGGCAGGGGCTCCCCAGTGCCAGCTCCTTCCACTTGACCGCATCCAGCGCAGAGCGGCTCGAATCGTCGACGACCGAGCCCTTTCCGATCGGCTCGATTCATTGGCACTGCGAAGAGATGTTGCATCCCTTTGCATTTTCTTTCGCATCTACCATGGGGAGTGCTCTGAGGAATTGTTCGGATTAATCCCAGCCGCCAAATTTCACGAACGCACATCGCGGCAGAACTCCCGATACCATCCACACCATCTGGATGATTGGCGGTCCACCACTGTGCGATTTAGAAGATGTTTTCTTCCTCGCACGACTTCCTTATGGAATCGATTACCATCAGCGATTTTTCCGGACCGATACGACTTAGGGACCTTCGTACTCCTTTTTAAAAGGCCGGCAACGCAGCTGCAATTCCCTCTCTGGTGTTGCAGTTGTTCATGGGCGGCGGTAGTCACTTACCATCAGGTGAGCCGCATGCTCGTTTGCCCCCTCTCCTATATAAAAAAAAGATGCAAAGTCAAACGGACACTGGCGCGCAGCGATAAAGTTTAATATAGCTTGTGTCAGTGATTTATCTAATTAATAATTATTATGTAGGCTATTAAGGGCCAGTTCACACAGAGACAATACGACACGTGTTTCGCCTCTACACGAGGCATCCTCAGGTGATATAGACTCTACGGTGGCTAACCGCTAAGCTCACTAAGTGAGCTCACAATACGAAACACGTGTCGTATTGTCATCAGTGGTGTGTCTTGCCTAGTGTAGTGGTGTTGGGAGTAGCGGTGCTGGGATTGTTGGTGACGGGGTTAGTGCACGCAATTGAGGGAGGGCGGGAGGTGCTCTTCGTACTAGGTAAGACACATCATTTTATTTTATAACGCGGATATTTGCGAAGTAAATTTTTCTAAAAGCTTTTTGATCTAGTGAGAGATGCAGGAAGTCGATGGATACTTGTGGCTCAGGACCGTGCTTGGTGGCGTTCCTTAGGGGAGGCCCAAGTTCAGCAGTGGACTTGTGGAGGACTGTAATGATGATGATGATGAAATAAACTTCACATTCACCACCTTGTATTTATCGTTTTCAATACCTATATCATTAGGTAATACTTAATTAAATTTTTAATTATGTTTAAAAAATATAATTGCGTCGATAATTTGAGAATATGATGTTCAAAAATCTAATTGGAACATGGGTATGTCAATTATGGAAAAAGCAAATAATCGTTGTAAGTGTTTTAAAAAATCAACAGAAAACTGTTTCATCAATACACAATCAGTGACCAAAAATGTCCTTACCGAATGAGCGCCCACTCGAACATTTGAGTGCGCTTTTAATTTGCACGTAGCTTTGTGAATACAACTTTAGGCAATGCATTTAAGGTTTTATTTACATTAATGTATATTTATTTCAACTTAAATTACGTCAAAACAATTGGCGACAGTTTTTTTGCATGGGATTGTGTATCTAGTTTTTTGATCGATGTTCATAACTAAAACAAAACTAAAGTGCGTTTCCGAATCCAGATCGGATATTTATCGACGGCATCTCGAATTATCCAAAGATAAGATTAAGGGCTAGTTAAGACACGGCGATAACCGCGCGATTGTCAGATCGTGCGGTTTGAACCGCAAAATTGTCGACTGTTCAAATATCGGCGGTTAGTTAGCGGTTAGTTAGTTAGTTAAATTCGGAAGAATTTGATAAAAATGAAAAAGGAAACACTGTATACTGTATTCTGTCATTCTCTCGCAGGCTAAATTATATAGATGTGATTAGTGTCGCTTTTTCGTTTCATCGAGTTTTAAATCATAACGATTCTAAAGGAGTTATTACTTTTTTATTTATAGGATAGGATGACTAACGAGCACACAGTCCACCTGATGGCAAGTGATTGCTGCGGTCCATAGACATCTACATTTATCCTCAATAAAGAATCAAAATGCAGATGCGTTGTCACCCGTCAGGACTAAGATGGAATGCCTCTTTTCCAGTAAAATGGGTCTCCGGTTCTCTACACTCACCATACGAAGCACAGCAGTGCCAAGCTGCTATTTTACGCTGGTATTCTGTGAGAGCGTGGTCCTTCCCCGGTCGAGCGACCCATTCGTGCTACAACTATAGGTATTACTAATCTAGCTACTAATATACTTCAAAAAATATCGTAAAAAGGCACGGTAACGACGACATAATGATAGTGAACCAGATGTTCTGCTTTGTGATGGTGTGATCATATCGCACAATCACTGTTTAATGGCGGACAGTAGTAAAAAATAGTTAAGATCAGCTCCGTTACCATTTTTATTACTATGGATAAATTAAATGGATTTATTTTCCAAGACAACTTCGATGCCTACTACGTTATATTACATTACTTGCGTGCGGTCAAAATTCATGGTTTGTATTATGTGCTTGTATCGCACGTAATTAAATAAAAAAGAAAAAATATTTTTCTAAAGCTATCTTGATAAATAATTCTTAACTTTTAGAAAAAAAAATTGATAAGATAATTAAACAGCTCGATAATAGTTAAACGAGTTCTAAGGGAGCTTATTTCTATACCAATACGGTGAAAGACATTCTTAAAGAATGTCCACGTAAAGAAGAATTTTGTTTTTTTTTTGTAATTTTTAAGGCGTTCCAGCTTAATCCTCCTGATTTTTTTTTATCGACGAAAACTGAGTATTAGTTTATCACAAATTGCTCGCTAAATATTAGATGAGCAATGTGTTCGTTTTTATTTATATAAAATGTGGCTTCTATTTCTGGTTCACAGTAGAATTCAGACAGATTATTAAAAATAAAATGTTTTCCTTAAAATATTTAATGTTTATTAAAAATATATTTATATTAAAATTTAGTTCAGTAAGTAATAGGTATAATATGCTCAGAGTTAGTAATACTACTTGTAACTTAATTTGCTTAAAGTAATACTTAAGAATATTTTCATATAAAATACTGTCGGCATCTAATGCTTGTATAATGTCACAAGATAGCACGAGACACGAAGACGGCCTTTGTTCGTAAAGCCGTATATATTATGCACACCGCGACCAAATTAAATCATGTCCGTCGGTTTATCTGAGGA